AATTATTTGGTTAAACGCGATCGTCGTTTTATTGCTGATATTCTTATGAATGGTCTTCATCGTTTAGAATATCGTGGTTATGATTCATCCGGTATTGCATTCGATGGTGATGATATTGAAGACAATCACGTATCGAAATCTAAACGTGCTTGTCTTCTTGTACGACAAAAAGGAAAAGTTGAAGAACTTGAACATGCTGTTAAATGTATGTCTATTAAAATAGTCTTCGATTTTGTTATATGAAAAAATTAAAATTCTTCTATTTAAATAGCATTGGAAAATGTTGCTTGGGATGCTGAATTTACTGTTCATGTTGGTATTGCACATACACGTTGGGCAACACATGGTGAACCAAGTGCAATCAATTCTCATCCACAACGTTCAGATGACCAAAATCAATTTGTCTGTGTTCATAATGGAATTATCACAAATTATAAAGATATCAAACAATATCTTGTAAATAATATAATATTTTTGTTTTTTTTTGTATTAAAAGTTTTATTTCATTTAGATGAACAAAGGTTATGTATTCGAATCCGAAACCGATACTGAATGTGTTGTTAAATTAGTTAAATATCTTTATGATAAACATAAAAATGAAAAAATTTCATTTCAAAAACTTATCGAAATGGCTTGTTCACAATTGGTAATATTTATTTGAAGAAGAAAAACAAAATTTATTTTTTTATCATATTTATAGGAAGGTGCTTTTGCACTCTTATTCAAAAGTATTCATTATCCAGGTGAATTATGTGCTACACGGTAAGAAAAGCTAAATAATTAAATGAAAAAAAACTATTTTTATTTTTTTTATTCTAGTCGTGGTAGTCCAATGGTTATCGGTGTTAAATGTGCCGATCAATTAGCTGCTAATCATATTCCAGTTATGTTCAGCAAAGGTATTTATTGAATTTTCTTTTGAGAAGCTTATCATTTTTCTTATAAAACACATTAGAAATGTCAAATCCTCGGATTTCTCAAGGTAAATTTCACTAGAAAGTGTTGTTATTTGCTATATAACCCATAAATGATAATTAATTGGGCATGGGTGCTACTAAAGCTTTATCCAATGTGTGTATAACCTATTGTATTGCTTTGTCTTTAATATTAGAAAAAGAAATGGATAGGAATATTGTTTGTGTATTTCAAAAGAGAATCGAAAGTTTATCTTTGGATTATAATTTTTAAAAATTGAAAAATAATTTTACTTAGATTTAAATCATCAAAATTCAAAAGATTCACGAAATGATGTTCATGTATCAGAAACTACTTCATCAAGTAAACAAAAAAAAAATAAAAAAAAAATCGCACATATGTTCGTTTAAGAGATCAATATAAAGAATGTAGATGCATGAATTCTCTTTCTTTTTTTTTCTTGCATGATTAATATAAAACTAATAATTGCTTGTTTGATTGTATTATAAATTTATTATATTATTAAATAATTTTTAATAATATTATTTAGACTTACGTGGTATTTTTTCACCACCATTGATGATTACTGATCATTCAACAACAGAATTAGCAGTAACAAGCAATGATCGAAGTATTGAATATTACTTTGCTTCAGATGCTAGGTATATATTTCAATAGAAAAATAAAGAATATTATATATCTATATTTTTTTCTTAGTGCTATTATTGAACACACAAATCAAGTTATTTTCATGGAAGATGACGATCTTGCTGTTGTTAGCAATGGTGCATTAACCATTCATCGTACACAACATGGTGAAGTATCAGGTCAATCAGCAATTCGTGAAATTCATGAACTTAAAATTGAATTACAACAAATCATGAAAGGAAATTATAAATACTTTATGCAAAAAGAAATTTTTGAACAACCTGAATCTGTTGTTAACACAATGCGTGGTCGTATTAACTTTAACACACGTAAAGTTGTACTTGGTGGTATTAAAGATTATATCAATGAAATTAAACGTTGTCGTCGATTGATTTTAATTGCTTGTGGTACAAGTTATCATTCAGCTGTTGCTACACGTCAATTACTTGAAGAATTAACTGAATTACCAGTTATGGTTGAACTTGCTTCTGATTTTCTTGATCGTAGTACACCAGTTTTTCGTGATGATGTTTGCATATTTATCTCACAATCAGGTGAAACAGCTGATACAATCTTAGCTTTACGTTATTGTAAACAACGTGGTGCACTTATTGTTGGTTTCACAAATACAGTTGGATCAAGTATTTCACGTGAATCACACTGTGGTGTTCATCTTAATGCTGGACCTGAAATCGGTAAGATTCTTTCGATAAAAACGATGTTTTTCCCCGAGTCAATCGTTCGAGTGTAGTCCATGTCAAGTCTTAATATGTAGCTAAAGCTTTGAATTAATTCGGATAGATCGATTATTTAAGAAATTTGTATATAAATTTTTGAATTTTATTTTTTTAAGGTGTTGCAAGTACAAAAGCTTATACAAGTCAATTTATTGCTCTTGTTCTCTTTGCTCTTGTCTTATCTGAAGATTCAATTTCAAAAGAACCAAGACGTAAAGCTATTATTGAAGGTCTTCAACAAATGCCCGAATTAATTAAAAAAGTACTTCAATGTGATAAACAAATTCGTGAATATGCTGAAGCTTTATATAAAGAAACATCATTATTAGTTATGGGTCGCGGTTTCAATTTTGCTACATGTCTTGAAGGAGCTTTGAAAGTAAAAGAATTAACCTATATGCATTCCGAAGGTATTCTTGCTGGTGAATTAAAACATGGTCCATTAGCTATGGTTGATGATACAATGCCAATTGTTATGATCATTATGGATGATCCAGTTAAAACTAAATGTATGAATGCATACTCACAAGTTCAAGCTCGTGGTGGTCAACCAGTATTAATTTGTAATGATGATGATCATGAATTATTGAAATTATCACATAAACATATTGGTGTTCCACGTATTGTTGATTGTCTTCAAGGTGTATTATGTGTTGTACCAATGCAATTACTTTCATTTCATATTGCTACATTACGTGGTTTCGATGTTGATTGTCCACGAAATTTAGCTAAATCAGTTACCGTTGCATAAGCCAAAAATAACAAAAAGAATTTTATTAATCTTAATGTAAAATTATTCCGTTAAATCTCTTGGATAAATTTTAATTTTTCTTTCTTTTTTATGGTTTAATCTAAAAAGAAACATTATTATTATTATTATTTATCATTATCGTTGTTGTTATTTGTTATGCATTACAACTTTCTAATCTCATTTATATTATTTTCTCTCACTTTTATTTATTTATTTCTTTTTATTTAATGGTTCTTTTGCCTTTGTAATAAGTTAAAATAAAAAAATCGAAAAAGCCTCTACTTATTCCGAATTTTTGTATTTAATTAACGATAAAGAAATTAATCTATCAAATTTACGATTATTGAAAACATCGCTATATTTATAATCACTCGATCGTTGACGTTTTTGAGACCGTCTAGATAAATATCCATACATGTAATGCACTATTTAAAACAGCTAATATCGATATAATAAATAAAGTCTTGATTACAAAGTTTTACTTATTGGCATTTTAGTCGTGTTCATTCGAGATATATTGATTTTCCTTTCATTGTATTCATATTAAAACAAATAAATGGCGACTACAAATCTTTGACTCAAGAATGAGAGATACGTAGATTTGTAGAGAAAAATTTTCTTTATCGAATTCTGTTGATTACTGTAAAAATCGATTTTTGGCTTGAACTCCAGCCTATTACAGACCTGTATCGGAGTCAACTAAATCTCTTGCCTATAATTCATTTTGTACATTAAGTTTCTTTTGAGGTAAAGGTTTTATTCTCTGATGTTTACTCTACAAACTGATCTAGCTTGAGGATTCAAATCAATGCTTTATTGAGGTTCACGGACACAAAAGAAAGTTGGATGCATGTCTCTAACTGGCTTGAATTCAAGCCAAAAATCGATTTTTACGATACTCAACAGAATTCGACGGTATATATACCATTCGATAGAGAAAAATTTTCACTACAAACCTATATATATCTCATTCCTGGGTAAAACTTTACTATGAAATTTGTAGTCGCCTTTGTTTCAATTATTTATCACTGGATTTAATGTGTATCTAAAGAATGATATCATATGTGACGATCATTTACATACGTACTCACTTATTTGTGTGATACAGTATGAACAAAATAAGAAATACTATCAAATAAATACTATTCACTTTATGACTTTGATTTTATTTGTAAAATCAAATGTACGATACGATAATATCTTCTTTTCATATGTATTTTATAACTATAAATGATTGATAGTAGTTTGTAATGACATCTAGCTAAGAAATACTGTTTATATTACAAAACATAGATGAAGAAAAACGACTTTTTAATAGTATTAGTAATTATTTTCTTTTGTCTTCTAATAATTTAACACAAGAAGAGTTGGTATTTTTCTCACAACCAAAAAATTGAGTTTTAACCACCAACTTTGATAGCTGCGAAATGATCACAAAAAATGAGTGTTTTGATACCAAATTTATTTTTAATTAAAGTAACAATGATAAATAGAAAGAAACACATTATTTAGAGCACATAAAACAGCTAAGAGTGTGGGTGCTCTCTTTAAACAAGGGATATCCAACCTCACCCATACCCTCAAATTTTATTCCATTTTAACTAGCGTATGTCTTGATTATATTTAGTGATCAAAATTCAACTTTTTGGTGATGAAAATATATTTTTCCCATATCAGAAATATCTTTATCAATGCCGATAGTTTTCAATTTCTCTTCTATAAAAGAAAAATATGAATAAGTTAACAGTAGAATTTTATTTAGTAAAAATAAATCGTTATCTTTCTCAATAAGAAGCGTATTTCCGTTCAATTACTAACGTAAATCTACTTATCGAAAGCAGTGAAAGACTATGAAGTCAAATTGTGTCATAAAAATATTTACAGGAAAAGAAATAGCATCAGTATAAGAATATTCGCTTAGATGCACGTTTCCTTTTTTCTTCTTCTATCCATAGAAGCGGAAGATAATTTTACCGGTTTGAATCCTATTGTGTTAAAAATAATCATTATTTTCTCATTTCCTTTCTTTCGATCAACATTTCTGCGTATTTTTTTCTTCATAGACAAGTTAAAAAAATATTTCAAAATCATTGAAACAATTTACATGAGTAGTCTCATTGAAGATCTTCCTAACGAACTTCTATTCGATGTATTTCAATATTTGGATACTCGAGATTTATATGAAAGTTTTTGGGGACTCAATTATCGATTTAATAATATTCTGCGATCACTTAAAGATTTATCGCTTACAATGGAAAAGAATAATCCATCATTACTTACGATATTTGCTTCACGAATTGCTCGATTAGAAGTTAATACATGGCATGAAATTGATTTAATTCAATTTATAAATTTAAAATCACTTATATTACATCGTACTACTCGCAATCAAATTACACAAATTCGACCAAATGTTATACCTAAACTTGTGTCTCTATCAATTTCATTAGCTTTTGATTTTTGGTCATCAGCACAACTTGCACAAGATGTTTTTTCAAATGGTTTTCCATCTTTACGACATGCTGATTTAGGTCGTGTCGATGTACCTTATACACGTTCATGGTCTTTATCACCATATCTTCATTCCGTATGTGTTTGCTCAGCTGATCCAATAATAGTTCCACTTATTCTTGCTTCATGTCCACGTTTACGTAATTTACAAGTACAAATTTTTGGTGATAATCATCGTATTGATCTTCCTTCATTACATTTGCATCATCCTCTAAGACGATTCACTTTTGTTGATTCACATGGCATTTTATCACTGCATGATATTAATCTTCTACTTATTTATATGCCTAATATTGAATGTATTCATTTAACCTTATTTGAAATGTCTTTTCATCTTCTTGCTCGTACACTTATTCATCGATTACATCGTTTACATCAATTTGATTGTTATATAAATGAATCACCGGATTCCAGTGAAAATATGGATAGAATTCGAGCAGTACATCCATGTCTTCATCATTTACAATATTTTGAGAAAAATCATGGTATTCGACATTTTACAAATAGACAAAAGTAGATAAACAATATATAAAATATTTTCTTTGATAGAAATAAAATTCATATTAGCCATATATATAATATTACCTTTCCTGATTTATTAAATAAGTAAATCAAAATAATATTGGTATTTAGATTTATCGTATTAAATTAATTGTACAAAACCATTTTGAAGATGAGCAGATGTGGATCTTCTTCAAACTCTACGCATATCCTATTGTTCAGTTAACAGAAACGTTGTAGTGGATGCATCTATTTCTTGTTTATTAGCATCGCTAGAATAAAGACATTCCCTGTGTTGTCAGTGACTTTTTTGATAGCATGCTGTAAAACTGCAGGAATATTTTATGATTAAATAGGTTTCAAGATGTTTTTTAAAAATACCATAACGAACTACTATCTATATCAATTCTTTTTTCATGTTATGGAAGTATTCCCTTCAATAATAATTTATCATGAGATTTGTGTTTATAAAAATATGATTGCTCTATCGATTAACCTATTAAGTCAACATAGACAAAGATATCTAGTATTGATATGATTTTGACCATAATTCATATCACTCATACACATGAGAATTCTCCTTTTATATGGGTGGCGAGTGAATCACCACTTCTACTTTCATTGGGACTTGTTTTGTTCATGACGTCATGAATGTCACATGTAGGATTACATAAAGATGCGCAATGGTGTATTGCCTTCTGATTTTTTCTTTTTCCTATGGTAAGTTTTTATTTATGTATGTATACACACACGTGTACTTGCGCTCCGTTCTTATTATTTGTACATACTTAGTTTCTATTAATGCTACTGTTCTTGACTAAAATAACTCATTTTTTGTATCATTTACCTATTCGACCGTTAGTATACATGTGACAATAATCAAACACAAACAGCCATATATTTATATCTATAGAATACTAACAAAAAGCGTTAGCTACATCTACTGATATAGTGTACTCTGAATAGTTGAAGTATATATACATCCAGTTCTGCTTGTCAAACATATGTCACGTGGTTGTGAAGTTATTGCAGAATGTTTGTGCAATACGTATTGGCAGGATAAAAACATGTGTTGGTGCAAAACAAATAGAACTCAATAGAATCTGGTAGGTAACTGACTCAGTGTTATACGTTAAAAATAATAAATCATATAATAACCAGTTTATCTGAGAATCAGCTTATTTTTGTAATTATTCTCTTCTCGTTATTATTTTAGATTGTGGATCTCGTCAAATAAAATGGATACAACTACTACTACTAATTTATCTATTAATCAATTTGACTGCGTACCTGATGAAATACTTGAAAAAATTTTCTCGTCTCTAAGTACTCATCTTCCGTTGACTCCAAACAATCATGTTCGTCTGAATGCTCACTCATATTATTTTGATTATTCAATGCAAAAACCATTATTAAAACAGACTCACACCGAGCTATCTCAAGTATTATTAGTTTGCCGTCGTTTTTATCGAATTATTAAAGCACGACAGTTTTGGGAGCAACAATGCCGTCTAGAACATATTCTTTCACCTGATCAGCATTTTCCAGTTGATTTTGATGCATACGAGAAAATTTATGTTAACAATCCTTTTCATCCTTCATTCAATCTACTTCAAGATAACAAATGGTTTAAATCACGTGGAACCAATTCGAAAATCGAGCTTGTTCCAATTGGTAGTTATCGACTTTATGATGAATTTAATCGTTTATCTCCTTGTCGAGTAACATCGTATACATTGGCACAATTCTTTCAACGTGATATTCAACTTCCATGTGAAGGACCTGGGTCAAATGACGTAAGTTGTTTAGGCAGAAATTGAATACTTAACAAAACTTTCTTTCATATAAAACAATTTTTAGATTGTTCTATTGAATAATCGATAATTTTAACTAATTCTATTTTTTAGTTTGCCAAACTACGTCCAATAATTGAGTTTTCAATTTGTGTAGCTCCTCGATGGGATTGTGGTTCTGAGTGTCAAATAAAACTTGACTTCTCAGATGGACACAAGTGGCAATACGAAAAGCGTTTTCCACAATGGAGCCCACGAAATTGGCATAAAATAATTTATCGCTATGGACAGTATGACAAATTTCCTTCGTCAGTGACTGTAATAATAGCTGGTAAAGATACACAACTTTGGGGAGGATTCTATGGTACGAAATTTTCACAAACACGTCTTCGTCTATTATTTCGTACAAGCGAGAATGAACTAAATACAGAAAATGTCGAGGTGATTGAACCAAGAATTGATGATGAACCATCTGAAGATCCTGTACCCAATACTCTCGAAGACAACTTGCCTATCGATCAAGGAACACTGGCGATAACGTTCAGAGATAATTCAAACAACTCTATGCTTGAATTTGATTAGAATTGAAATTCAAACGACTTATTTTTTATTTTTTAGAGTTATCATTTCTAAACCGAGAAAGTTTTCTATTGAAAAATATCTCAAAACTATTGTAAAATAAAAATTTTAAAACTACAAATCTGTATCTCTATTTTGTGGTATTCTGAGTAATCAATGCTTATATATAGACAAAACGTATGAAAAGATTACCTTGTTATGAAGAGAAATCAATTATATAGTTAATAATAATAATTCAATGTCATTTATAAAGCGAGTATGACTATGAATATCAAATTTTCTGTTGCATCTACTTACACCTCAGACCATATATAATAACATGTTATTTATGAAAAATATCTGCTTTTCAAGATGAATAAAAATGTATTTTTACCATCAAGAGAGATATTTTTAACCAATAATTCGAACAAAGATAAACACTTGCTTGTACGATCTTGTTTTTCTATCAAATTAGTATCAATCTAGTATTTATATTCTTTGTTTTGTAAATTCTATCAAAGATAAAAATTTCAAATATTGTCATTCCATTCTTATTGTTCGTAACTATAGAAACTTCTTATTCAATAACGTAATATGATTGGTTTAACAAAATGCATAGATGTGTTATCAGTCTTATATTAATTAATGATAAAGAATAAAGAATTTTTTAAAATTCCAATCTATGAGAAGTTTCATTATTTATATATATTATTATTCAGCTGTCAAAAAATCTTAGTAGAGGCATCTATCTATGGATTATCATTATGGCCATTGACTAGTGGCTATCTCTCTGTCTCTCTCTAACTGATATTCGTTCATTCATTATTCGTCGTTTTGTATCTAAATTTTCGATCAATAGGATTGATGCCGATGCGATGACAACAAAAGTTCAATGGAAACGACTTGATGGAACCATCGGACAAAATCCCAAACCACGTCATGGTCATCGAGCAGTAGCTGTCAAAGATTTAATTATTATATTCGGTGGGGGTAATGAAGGCATTGTTGAAGATCTTAATGTTTATAATTGTGGTAAAAATGTTACATTACAAAAAAATCTCATATTTTTTTGTATTTATTTAAGCTTCAAATCAATGGTTTCAACCATTAGTAAAAGGTGATGTTCCAACAGGTTGTGCTGCATTTGGTTTTGCAACTGATGGTACAAGAATTCTTGTATTTGGTGGTATGATTGAATATGGAAAATATTCCGCTGATCTTTGGGAATTAAATCCATTGAAATGGGAATGGAAAAAATTAAAACCAAGACCACCTCGTACAGCTCCATTACCATGTGCTCGACTTGGTAGAACTTTTTCTATATATATTTATTTATAAATTATTCTTTTTTTCTTGTTCGATCTATTAGGACATACATTAACCTATGCTGAAGGAAAATTTTATTTATTCGGTGGTTTAGCTAATGATAGTAAAGATCCAAAACAAAATGTTCCACGGTATGTTATCAAAACTATAAACAAAACAAGAATTTGCTTAAATATTAGTTTTAGATATTTAAATGATCTCTATGTACTTGAATATAAAGGTAATAGTTGTTCTTGGGAACAACCTATGATAATTAATGCCTCACCAAGTGAACGTGAATCACATTCATCTGTATTCTATCGTGGTCAAATTGAAAATCGACCAAAATTAATTATCTATGGTGGAATGAATGGTCATCGTTTAGGTGATCTTTGGAATTTTCATCTCGGTATATATATATATTTCTACTTTTCTTTTTGTATTCAATTATTTATTTTTAGATTTTTCACAATGGACACAAATAACACCCAGTGGTTTAGCACCACAACCACGTAGTCTTCATTCAGCTGTTGTAATGGGAAATCGGTTAGTTTCATTATTCTATATACTCAATAGATTGTTTTGTTTTCATAATTTAGAATGTTTATATTTGGTGGTTGGGTTCCGTTGATAACATCAGATAAAAATGATCATTATACAAATGAAAAAGAATGGAAATGTACAAATACATTAGCAGCTTTTAATCTAGGTAAAACAATTTTTTATAGAAAGATAAATGATGATATTGAGTTTTCAAAGAAAGATTTTCTTTTTCAAGTTACAAATAATCATACGAAGGTATCAGAAAAGTAATCTCTGATAAAACTAATTCTATAGTTGTTTTTAATATAAATAGTGAATGACTATTTTCTGTAGGATGTATAATGAAAAATCTTACTTTGATAAAATCTCATCCGTAGATTAATCTTATCTATTAGTTTTCAAAATATTCTTTTTTGATTAATTTGTCATAGATTTCGATCATAACAATAAGAATTATGAATTTTTCTGTTTTAGAAACGAATGCTTGGGAACTTCTAGGACAAGAATGTCTTGAAGATAATGTTCCACGAGCACGTGCTGGTCATTGTTCAGTTGCAGTTAATACAAGAATGTATATTTGGAGTGGACGAGATGGTTATCGAAAAGCTTGGAATAATCAAGTTAGTAGAAATTTATATATTTTCAAAAAAATTCATCTGTTTTTTTTCTTTTTCATAGGTTTGTTGTAAAGATTTATGGTGTTTAGAAACAGCATGTCCAGGTGAACCAGAAAAAGTGCAATTACTTAAAGCAGGCATCGGTAATTTGGAAATATCTTGGAATCCTGTTCCGACTGGTATGTTAATTTAGAGTTTTGTATTATATTAAATTACTAAATAAAATAAGTCCTTTAATAGTGGACTTGTTGAATTTACTAATTGAATTCCATAGAAAACTCTATTTAAAAAAATATCTGTTTTGTTTTTTTAAATAACATAAATATTTTATAGCTGATTCTTACATCTTACAAATTCAACGTTTCGAAGCTCCAGTTGAACATGCTCCACTAGTGCCTCCTACTCTTCCAGCTACATCCCAAATACCAATTCATCCACCACCTTTACCATTACAATCAATATCCGCTTCACTATTTGCTTCTAAAAGTCCACAATCAGGTAAAATTAAATCTTTTATTTATATAAATATTTCATCTATGTGATTTTTAGTTCTCGCATCATTAATTCCCACATTTTCAAATGGTAAATCTCACTTTTTTTTTCTTCAATCCAATTTTTCATATCGTTTTTAGAACAACAACCAGCAAGTGCATCTGTTTCTGCTATTTCCGATACAGGTAAATTGAAATATCCTTTTATGAATAATATCGTTTATTAATAAAAATTTAGATGGTATTGTTGATCAATGTCTTTCGTCAACATCAAAATCAGATTTACTTTCATTAGCACATTTATCATCATCACAAACACCACTTTCATCATCAATGAATACAGTTAATGCCCAAACATTATCAAATCTTTCTATATCACCTTCGAACAGTACAAATAATTCTTCATCATTAATATTTCAAAAAACTACACCGACAACTATGTCTTCGTCTATACAATATAATCAACCAACAACAATATTGAATCCTACCCAAAGTAAAATTTTGATTTCTTTTTCGAAGGAAAATAATCAGTTATTTTACTTTTAGCCGTTCGACCACCAACTACATCGAATATTCAATTTGTTAATACTTCATCTACCGGTGCTACAAATACTGTTCGTCCAATAATTTTTCATCAAAATAAAACAACAAATTCCAATCAACCACAACTTCTCACTGTTATGCCTGCTGGTGTTCGTGTTCAACAATTAACACCTGTTGTACGTGGTTCAACAAATCAACCAACAACAATTGTTCGTTTAATGTCACCAGCAACAACAACTATGCGACCAGGTACTGGACAACAACAAATTATACAGTTAAATACAAATAAACAACAACCATTAGTTATTAAAGCAATTTCTGCACAAACAGCTAATCGTTCACAACAACAACAACAACCAATATTATTAGCAGCTAATACACAACAAAAAATGATGGGATCTCATCCACAACAACATCAGCAACAACAACAACAAGTTTTTGTTTTTAATCAAAATACATTTTCAACTGCTAGTGGACAACAACCAAAATTTACATTACAAATGACAAATGTAGATCACACAAACAACACTCCAGTAACTACTAATACAACAACGAATATTGATAATGGTCAACAAGAACCAACAATTCCTCAGTTAGATGGTACTATTGATGAACAAGTAAATATTTGTATTAAATTCATAATTATGTATATTTATTTATATATTTCTGTTTTTTAGCCATTACAAAACGGTACACCTGGTAAGAAATAATTCAATCTCCTGCTAAATTAACTGAGTTTATAAATTTGACGTATCTTTAATAAGCATCGATAAAACTGGAATATTCGAAAAGAGATAATTGAATTCCTAAATTACGAAAGTTCAACAGGTTTATACTATTTTATCAGATTACATCGTGATTGAAAGTACAACTAGAATAGAGAATGTGATAGGATTACTATAGTAATATTGGAAGTAAACAACACGATGACATTTGACGATAAATGTCTTTCAGTATACTGTAAATATCTTTACATTGATAAACTTTGTACAATAGACTGAGTTAAAAGTGCAGAATAAAAGGCTAAAACTATACAAAAACAAATAGGTGATCGGCAAAAAAAACTCGGACTTTATGTATATAGAATTTTGATACATATATAAAAAGTAGAGTGTACAAATTGACAGAGCTTTATCTTTTTCATTATCAAGAAATTCGTTATGAATCCAATCTGTTTAAGATAACCTTCTTTTCGATAGATAAATTTTCGCACTCACTGTGTATGTATTTTTAGAGTTACAAAATTCTTCTAGTCCAGCACCACAACAATCTTCAAGTAAATATAAAAGTTATTAAAAAAATTCTTCTATATATCCTTTTAAATAGATAATCATGAAACATTAAATGGTCATTCAAAAATGGAGGTACAACAACAAACCATATCATCTGATTCAAAACCATTAGATAATGATGATGGTGATGGGTGGCATTTAGTTGGAACATTTAAAACAACAGCAACTGATATTAAACATTATTATGTTGTACCATCAAAAATTAATATTGATAATTATGTATGTTTGCAAATTTTTTTTAATTTTATAGAGAAATATTTTGTTTTTGTAGGATCTTGATTCTCTTCAAGTACATAATTTAGTGAAAAAAGTTGACCTTGAACCTGGTGTAATTTATAAACTTCGTATAGCAGCTGTAAATGCCTGTGGTAGAGGTCCATGGAGTGAAGCAGCAGCATTTAAAACATGTTTACCTGGTTCACCACCTGCACCATCAAATATCAAAATTACAAAAGTATAGTTTTACAAATCGAAAATTTCCATTTTGTTTTCTATTCAAAAAATTATTTTCTTTAGACACCTGACGGTGGTGCTCATTTAACTTGGGATCCTCCATCAAATGCTTCATCATTAATTACAGGTTATGCCGTTTATTTAGCAGTGAAAAATATGCCAACAGATAATACATTACCTCGTCAACAACCACAACAAGCATCACAAATGGCTTTTGTACGCGTTTATGGTGGTGTATTAGCTGAATGTTCAGTAAATGCTGTACAACTTCATCAAGCACATCTTGATACAAGTACAAGTAGTAAACCAGCTATTATATTTCGTATAGCCGCACGAAATGAACGTGGATATGGACCAGCAACACAAGTTCGATGGTTACAAGATCAACAACAATCAGCATCGAATCATTCAACAGCAAATAATTCATTAAAACGAACTAGTTCAAATACAAATTCTTCAACAACATCATCATCAACGAAAAAACAACGATTTACACCAGGCAACGGAACAAATGATAGTTAACAATTTCATTGTATTTGATCGTTATATATGTGTTTGTGTTTATTTGTAAATATTTTATTTACTCTATATTAAAACAAAAAAAAGGAAAAGAAAAGATATTATTCTATCAGTTAGATTTTCTAAACTAACATACATATTGTATATCTTATTGTTTAAAGATTATTCTATATGTATGCGTGTTTTTTTT